GCAAAGATACTGGAGTGGCTTGCCACTGCCTGCTCCAGGTGGATTGCGTTTAGTCGGAACTCTCCACTATGACCTGTCCGTCTTGTCTTGGGTGGCCCTGCACGGCATAGCCCATAGCTTCACTGAGTTACTCAAGCCCCTTCGTCATGACAAGGCAGCAATCCATGAAGGGGATTGTTTGTTAGCATGGAACAAAGATTCACAGAGCTTATTTGGCACTTCAGAATTCCCTATTGTGAACTGTGGCCTGAAATTCCATACAAATTATTAGAACAACCTTCAATACTAACCTGTATCTTGGATGGCTCCTTGTATACTAGTTATGCAAGATGGTTGGGGCTTCAGATCAAACTCAAAAAAGTGTGGGAACTATCAGTGCTCATCAAAGCTTTTGTGGAATTCCACACAGAAGCAATTATCTATAAACATCAGTAGGTATATGCGTTAGATACACTTTCATTTTAAGATCTGGTTATATAAGCTGAGTAAAAATATTTGCACTGATAGCATGTCCTTTATGTAGCAATGAAGAAACTGTCTTTTTTTCCTTAGACTTGTTATGAGTTTTCTCTAATTGCAAGTCTTATACACTCCTGTAGGAACACAAAGTGGACCCAGCACAAGAGCTCACTGTAACTGGACAAATGGTTTACATTAAGATCCAGTTGCAAATTTGACTGGTTTCTCTCTAAACTAGAAGAAAAAAATGAAATGAAATGAACAGACAACTGTGCCATGTTGCAGCAAATTCTCATATTTTCATTTTTTCCCTTTTGTGTGTTCATTTTATTTCCGCTAGCGTCTATGTCCAGTTCTGGCCCACCAAAGAAGCGACACCGGGGATGGTCTCCTGGATCACCAGTCCCTCCTCCTGGTTTAGTTGTGCCTGTTCCTGCCATCCGGCCTCTTCCAAGAGCAGGCAAGATTCAGTATTCAACCAGCACAATTTCTTGCTATTGCTTCACTTTGTCTGGCTGTTGTGTTATTTTTATGTGTTACATTTATATCCCACCTTCTGTTATTATTTATTATTTATTGTTTCTTTGTTAGATATTTATACTCCACATTTTTTCTCACATGGAGCTCAATTTATTTATTTATTTATTTATTAAGCTTATATGCCATCCATCTAGACATTGTCTACAACATACAAAGTAAAAACAATTGATATAATAACAATTTTACAATGATTTGCCACAATTAACAATAGTTCAAGATGGAAGGGAAAAATAGTAAATTAAGTAGTGCCCGGAGGGAAGGCCTGTCTAAATAACTAGGTCTTAAGTTGGTTTTTGAAAATGCCCAGCGAGGGGGCCAAACGGATCTCGGAGGGGAGTTTGTTCCAAAGAGGCCCAGTGTCTAGTTTTTTCTTTCCAGACCTCCCTCGGTATTAGGCTCCTCAGTCGCCCCTCCTGGCTAGATCGAGTGATACGAATAGATCTAGGTGGAAGGAAGCGTTCCGCCAAGTATCAAGGTCCTAAATCGTTTAGGGCTTTGTATGTAATCATTAAAACTTTGAAATCAACGTGAATGTGAATGGGCAGCCAATGCAAGGCGGCCAGCGTGGGAGTGATATATTGGTGTTTCCTCTCCCCACTGAGGAGTCTGGCCGCTCAGTTCTGCACCATTTGAAGCTTCCGCATCAATCTCAAAGGTAGCCCTAGACAGAGTGCATTACAGTGGTCTAATCTTGAGATTACGAGCATGTGGACCAGAGTGGTGAGTGCCCCAACATCAAGATAGGGATGCAGTTGGGCTATCCACCAAAGATGGAAATAGGCAGAGCAGACCACTGATGCCACCCGAGTTTCCATGGTGAGCTCCGGGTCCCGATGTATCCCCAAGCTGTGAACCTCACTCTTTGCAGTGAGAGTCACCCCCAAAAGAGAGAGAGTTTCCCAAACCACTGATGGTGGGGCCACCCACCTTCAGGACCTCCGTCTTGTCCGGGTTCAGCCTCAGCCCATTTTCCTGCATCCATTGCAGTACAGACTCCAAACAGCGCTGAAGGAACAGAACAGCATCCACTGTGGTTGGAAAAAAGGAGATGTAGAGCTGGGTGTCATCAGTTGTTATGGGCCTGGCTGCTTTGATTAGCCAGGCCGGGCAAGGGTCAAGAGATGAGGTGGTGGCCTGACAGTGGTCTAGTGCTTTGTCCACGATATTAGGTGTCACAGGCTGAAAGAAATCAAGAGTCACTGGGCAAGGCGGAGTGCTGGACTTCTCTGCTCGATCCTCGGATGGCCTCCACTTTAGATTTTAAAAATGCTGAAAATTTGTCGGGTGAGATACTAGAAGGAGGTCCATCACTTAGACCAATTGCAGATAGGTCGTGGACTATACGGAAAAGTTCCTCATGTTGATTTGAAGCCTCGCTTATCTGATCAGCAAAGTGAGCTCAACTAGCAGCCCTTATCTTAGCAAAGTAAAGATTAGTCACAACCCTGACAGCTTCCCTATTATAATCTGTCAGGCTCTGTCTCCACTTGCCTTCCCCTAGTTTGCTTCATCGCTTGTAGTTCCTGATTAAACCAGGACAGAGGCTGAGCTTTGCATTGGAGAGGGCGTTTAGGAGCGATCATGTCTACAGCCCTGGTGGTGACTGTAAACCAGCCTTCTACCAGAGCCTTGACAGGAGCACCAGCCATAGAAGGAGGTCCATCACTTAGACCAATTGCAGATAGGTCGTGGACTATACGGAAAAGTTCCTCATGTTGATTTGAAGCCTCGCTTATCTGATCAGCAAAGTGAGCTCAACTAGCAGCCCTTATCTTAGCAAAGTAAAGATTAGTCACAACCCTGACAGCTTCCCTATTATAATCTGTCAGGCTCTGTCTCCACTTGCCTTCCCCTAGTTTGCTTCATCGCTTGTAGTTCCTGATTAAACCAGGACAGAGGCTGAGCTTTGCATTGGAGAGGGCGTTTAGGAGCGATCATGTCTACAGCCCTGGTGGTGACTGTAAACCAGCCTTCTACCAGAGCCTTGACAGGAGCACCAGCCATATCAACCGGAATCCCTCTCATGGAATCCTGGAATCCTATAGGATCCAGTAGCCTTCACGGGTGGACTATTAAAGTGTGTCGTTGCTCCCTGTGAGGTGGGAGAGCCACTGAGAGGTTACATTTTGTTAGGTGGTGATCCAACCATGGCAAGGGAGCCCACACAAGGTCAGTCACCATCAGACCACACTCACTCCAGTTGGTGGAGAAAACCAGGTCAAGCATATGACCACCCACATGGGTGGGGCTGTTAACATGTTGGGACATGTTCAAGGAAGCCATGGTTTCCAAGAACTTAAGAGCTGGACTAGATGTCACAGCCTCCACATGGATGTTGAAATCACCCAAGACCAAAAGCCTCGGGGATTCCAACAGTGCCCGTGGAGACAAAGTCCGCCAGCTCTGGTAAGGAGATGGATGGGTTGCGGGGAGCTTGGTAACCCAGCAAAATCCCAATACCATCCCTGGCCCCTATTGACACATGGAGGGCCTCCAAACCCAGCTTCATCACCGCAGAGCACCTAGTAACCTCCAGAGTGTTTTTATATACAATGGCTACTCCCCCTGTCCCTCCAGTCTACCCTGGTACTGGACAGCATAACCGGGAGGACAGGTGAGGATCAGGGGTGGACCCCCTTCTCTACTGATCCAGGTTTCAGTTATGCACGCCAAGTCTGCATCCTCTTTCAGAATAAGATCATAAATAATCTGGAAATTATTGGATACAGACATGGTATTCAATAGCAACAATTTTAGGAAGAGCTTGCAGCCATGAAGAAGCATCTCTTGCCATTTCACTAAGGTTATTTCCTGAGGTAAGAAATGTGGCTGTAAAAGAGGCACCATTGTAATGGTGGTGCCCTGCCCTTGGGATGCCAACACCAGAGAAACTGGCCCTGGAACCTATGTTTATGGCCTTCTGGGTGTCATTTGAAGATCACTTTATTCTTCCAAGCATTTTGTTTTGGTTCGCCATATCACTACTATTTTATTTTTCTCTCTTTTTTTTTTAAAATCAAGATTTTTGTGTTGTATTGTTTGTGCTACTGGTTTTATTTTTGTTTCAGTAAGTTCTTTATCGCTGTTTGTGAAAACAACTGTGAGTATTGGGCCTGCGAGTGTAATAACTACATGATTTCACCCTGTCAACTTTATTGTTGAAAGAGCTGTCTAAGGGAGATAAGACTAAAAGGGTGACTGCCTTAAAATCTCTCAGTGATCTTTGTGGTCATATTAAATGTTCCTACTGTTTTATTGCTGTTTTATTGTTTTGTTACTTGAGAGTCATTGTTTTGTGGTTTTTGCACAAAAAAGTGTTATACAGTTGTGTTCAAAATTATTCAGCCCCCAATGCTGTAAAGGGGTTTAGGGACTATAGTGTACATTTGGAATTGTATTCAGAATGAAATCCTACAAGGACGTTTTAAAGAACCAAATGCAACTAAAATAACATCAATTGTTTATGTAATACAGTAGTAAATGTTTCTTTTGTGGTTTCTTCATTGCCACAATTATTCAACCCCTTAAAGACTACCACTCTGAAGAAGAGAGGTTCATTCAGGTGTTTTCGATCAGGTATTGAAAACACCTGTGGATGTCACCGAGCACCAATCAAGCATAATAAGCACCAATTAGGCAGCTTTAAAATGACTGTGATACTCAGCTCCTTCTAGACATTTACTGGTGTGGTTACAAACATGGTGAAGTCAAGAGAATGGTCCAGGAAGACAAGAGAAGAGGTGATTTGTCTTCACAGGAAGGGCAATGGCTATAAGAAGATTGCAAAGAAGTTAAACATACCAAGAGACACCATAGGAAGCATCATTCGCAAATTCAAGGCAAAGGGCACTGTTGAAATGCTACCTGGTCGTGGAAGAAAGAAGATGCTGACTTCGACTGCTGTGCGCTACCTAAAGCGTAGAGTGGTGAAAAGTCCCCGTGTGACTGCTGAGGAACTGAAAAAAGATTTGTCAGATGTGGGTATAGAAGTTTCAGCTCAGACAATAAGGCGCACACTGCGTAATGAAGGTCTCCATGCCAGAACCCCCAGGCGCACCCCCTTGCTGTCTCCCAAGAATAAGAAGAGTCGACTGCAGTATGCCAAAAGTCATGTGGGCAAACCACAAAAGTTGTGGGATAGTGTTCTGTGGACTGATGAAACAAAATTAGAACTGTTTGGGCCCATGGATCAACGCTATGTTTGGAGGAGGAAGAACAAGGCATATGACGAAAAGAACACCTTGCCTACTGTGAAGCATGGCGGAGGGTCAATAATGCTTTGGGGCTGTTTTGCTTCTGCAGGTACAGGGAAGCTTCAGCGTGTACAAGGTACCATGAATTCTCTTCAGTACCAGGAGATATTGGATGAAAATGTGATGCAGTCCGTCACACACCTGAGGCTTGGGAGACGTTGGACCTTTCAACAGGACAATGATCCCAAGCATACCTCCAAGTCCACTAGAGCATGGTTGCAGAGGAAAGGCTGGAACATTTTGGGGTGGCCATCGCAGTCACCAGACTTAAATCCGATTGAGAACCTCTGGTGGGACTTAAAGAAAGCAGTTGCAGTGTGCAAGCCTAAGAATTTGACTGAACTGGAGGCTTTTGCCCATGAAGAATGGGCGAAGATACCCGTAGATCGCTGCAAGACACTTGTGTCAAGCTATGCTTCACGTTTAAAAGCTGTTATAACTGTAAAAGGATGTTGTACTAAGTACTAAGATTGAATGTCACTTGGGGGTTGAATAAAAACTAATAATGATGTGAGCACAGAAAAGACATTTGTGGTTATTTCATTATAAACTTAAGGTTATATTTCTCTGACCTACAAGTGCCTCTTTCATGTAAATGTAAGCAAGATGACTGAATGATCAAAATCAATGTCAAAATGGCCAAAACATTCAATTTCAGTGGGGGTTGAATAATTTTGAACACAACTGTATATAACAGAATAGTATTAAGCGATACAATTAACAATAATCAAATTAAATAGTTTAAAGCGCATATAATTCAAGAAAAGGGTGCATAAGACAATTAACAATGAAGTGAAAAGAAAAAATGAAATAGATACAACAAACCAAAATAACATACAGTAAAATAAAAATAAAGTAAAATAACCTTAAAATAAAAAATAAAATAAAATAAACAATACAATTAAACAATATATAAAACAAAAATTAAACCCAGAATCCCCTCTAAGAATCCCCCCCCCCTCAAGGCAGCCTGCATGGTTCTCCTTCATTCCTTGGCCTTTTATACTCACAGGAGCCCTGTGGCATAGGTTAGGCTGGGCATTATTATTTAATGACCAAATGTCAGTCCTCTTGGCTTGTTAAGGGGTCGATGGGATATGAATCTCATCAGTCTGAATCTGCCAACATAGTAGTCACTATACTGTAGAGCACTGGTTCCCAACCTTGGGTCCCCAGATGTTCTTGAACTAAAACTCCCAGAAGCATCCATCACTAGCTGTGCTGGCCATGATTTCTGGAACTTGTAATCCGAACATCTGGGGACCCAAGGTTGGGAACCACAGCTATTGTGACATCTTTAGAGGACATGTCATAGCTAGTAGTACTACAAGTGCTGAAACCTTTCTTAAATGTTGTCAGAAGTGCTCACAAATGTAGTGACAGAGTTGGGTAAGTTAGCAATCCCACCAGTAATTTAGCTGTCTCTATATCAGCATCCTTTTTACCCCATGGCATGAAAAATGTTATTTTGCCACTTCTGTACTTTATCAAATGCCCAGGCTCAATCTAGAGTTTAAACAAGCTGAATTCACCTCTGTATAGTAATGATAAATGGTTTTCATTCTGTTGGTAAAACTAAATGCCTTCATACATCAAACACTATTTAGCTTAAATGCCTTAATAGTGGTGCATTTCCTCATGTCAGCAGTCTCTTTCACAAAAAGTTCTTTGTTACAATCAAATCCTATACACTTTTTATTCAGAAATAAGTCCCATTAAGTGCATTGGGACTTCCTCTGAGACACATATGTACAGGATTGCAGTGCTACTTGGAACATTGCATAAAACCTCTCGTACAGTATTCCTGAATTTTCCTATCTGACATATTCAAATGCAGTTATTCACTATTCATCTGGTATCAGCTACTTGGAACATTGCATAAAACCTCTCGATCTTTTTTGTACAGTATTCCTGAATTTTCCTATCTGATATATTCAAATACAATTATTCACTATTCATCTGGTATCCTGGCACCTAATATTGTGTGGACTTTGCTTCCTTGTTCAAATTTTCCTGATTTGTGTGGCAGCAAAAAGCACTTGCCTTGCATACTTTCAAACTGAAATCTAATTTTACATTAATATTTCCAACATCAGAAAACGTTAGACACTTTGTACGGGGATGGTTTAAGTTTTCTTTTAAGATGGCACTGGTTAAAGGCATGCATAGTTTAGCAGATCCAAAAAGTGTATTTGCATTTGTATATCTGTATGCATGCCCTTATAGAAAGTTTTCCTTATGATAATGTGAAATTAGTATAAATCACAAAAACATCTGCCTCTTAAAACAAATTTAAAGTTTAGAACACAGTGCAAATACCTGTGAAGATAAAAGTGCATATATACTTTGAGACCTGCATGTCTAAAGATGCTCTGTATGAGCATACCCAATGCTCATAATTTTATTTTTCCTTTGTAAAGGAGATAGAAAAACATCTTTCAGCCTCAAAGTGACTTTCGTATTTCACTTGGCTCACTTTGGATTGTAGCCTTCATTGTCTTGGAGGCTGGAAGAAGCTAACATTTTGAACAAAATGAAATAAAATCTCCTTTTTATTGTGATTTTTTTAAAAAAAACCTATATGAAAAAACAATTTCTGCAGCTTCACAATTCTATTTTGTTCCTGGGTTTCTTCAAATTCCTACAAATCATTAATGAAGCTTTGCAATTAACATGCAAAATAAGGATTATATATAGTTGGGTTATATTGAGGTCTGAAAAGGCTTTGGCTCCCTTGTGTCAAACACTTAGAGTAATGTTTGCAGCTTCAGAGCTATGTGAAGTTTGAAGCAACATTCAACGAGGCTTTGAAATGGCAACCTCTGTTTGGCTTTCTGATCTGCATACCACAGGTCTCGGGTTGGTGTGTACTTCCATTCTTCTTTGTGTTGGCAGGTAGCACTGAAAGGTGCCCTGGTCTTTCCGAACACCTCTTGCCTCACACCTGGCCTTGCAGAAAGGCCAATATGTAACCCTTTCTCTTTAATTTCCTCTTTCTCTCTCAGCTACAAACAATAGCATTGCTCTTTTCTAAAAGGTCATTTGTTTTACAGGGAGGAGTTAAGCAAGAATATTTGGTTGTTTCTTTAAATTCATTACAGTGACAAAAGGAAATGCAGGCATATTTTGAATTTTATTGTGTTTAATGATCACCCGGAGTGGGAGAGGGTTTATTTTCATTTACATTGTTCGTAGGGCCAAATCACAGTATGAGCCTTTTGGTAACAGGAGTTTTTTTTCCCCCTTCTTCTGTATTTTTATAGAGCCTCTTTTGTCAGTCCCAGTTCCTCAATCGATGCTAACTGGAATTTTACAGCCTCAGCCCATCCCTGCAGGGGAGACTGTAATCGTTCCTGAAAATCTGTTGAATAACTCAGGAATCAGACCTGTGATTCTGATTGGTGAGTTTGTAATATGAATTAAACCTGTTTGCAAATATGTTGTGTTAGCTTAGCAGTGTGCTTCCTCCAACCTCACCCCAGCTGATTAGTCCTGAATCCTTGCACTAGTCTTTCACATGCTTCAAACAAGGTTAGTAGATGGTTTAAAATGCTGTTTACTCCAGATTCTCAGTCAGCTCCTTTATGGTTCCCAGAGTGGTGAAGAGTGGCTGGAATGTAAGGGTGAATCAATCAAAATGTGTTACTAAAGGCATCTCGAGGACATTTCACATTAATTGCTGAATGTTGATCATTAGGAATCTCTTGCTGAAGCCTAAGCTAAAAGAGGTCATGTGTAGGTCATATTGGTCCTTCAGTAAGAATGAAAGGAAATAAGCTTTTATCCACAGTTGCAAAAGTTTGTCCTTGGCACCAGAATTGTGCTTTAAAAAGTGGAAGTTTGGGAAATTTGAAGGCAGCTTTGTGTCTTAACAGAGAACTCAAAACTGTGAACTGGCCAACACAAATCTTATATTTGATATTTAATTTCACTCTGCCCTCTCTATTCTTTATATGCTAAATGGTAAAGAACAAACAATGAAATAGAACCATTTTGTCTTCAGAAAGATAATGCACTTTCGTGTCTTCAGTACCTTGGAGAGCTGTGATTATATTACTGGAAATCATTTTGTCACACCTGGCTGGATGACTCAGTGAGAGCAAGTGGTTGATAGTTCAATTCCCCATGGTGCCTCCTGGGAGAAGAGCCAGCTTCTGTAGCCCTCAATAAGACACATGGTTCCAGATTACTCAGAAGGGAATGGTAAATCACTTCTGTGGATTCTGTACTTAGGAAATCTTGGAAGGGATTGCCATACATCTGAATCAACTCAACAGCACCTAGTTATTATATACAGCTCTGTCCCTGATGCATATTGCAATTACTCCCAACTTCATTGTATACATGTTTTCTGTGAGTGATCCATCACTGGTGGTGAGCCTTCTGGTGCTAAAGCATACTTGAATATAATCTTTTAACTCTGTGTCATGGGATATTGTGTTAAATGTAAACATAAACAGTTAATAGCTAGACTTGGGATCTGTTGTGTTATTATTTCTTGAGTGAAGAAGGTAAAAAAAACTCTTTTACTGCCTTGGAACTTATCACTTCCTCACTGCAGAAAGAAAGAAATATGTTTAAATATGATCTGAGATGGTTGGACAGTGTCATCGAAGCAACCAACATGAATTTGACACAACTCCGGGAGGTGGTGGAGGATAGGAGGGCCTGCCGTGCTCTGGTCCATGGGGTCACGAAGAGTCGGACACAACTAAACGACTGAACAAACAAAAAAATTATCTGAATATGATCATATTTAAAGTCATTGTAAACTGGTAGTGGTAACATTAATTGCCTTTATTTTCAGTATTTTAAATTGCAGCTGTGAGTTCCACTGTTCAGATTTATGCTTGGTCTTTCACTTGAGATTTCAGTCAAGGAGCACCTTAAAATATGTCAGCATCAGCTGTTTTTTGCCCTGGTAATACATCCCAGGAACAACTGCTGTAGGCAGCTCAAACCTTAAGGGAATACCTTGTTTTGAGTTTTCCTTGCAGAGTTCCGGGCCATGTGTCCAGAGGAACACTGCTTAGTTGCTGCCCATGCAGATCTGACCTTTGAAATGGCATGAACTGTTCTTAAGCTTGAATGAATGCTTTTTCAGAGGCAAAACCTAATTATTATCTTGTTCTCATTTCTTGTGAGTTTAATTCATAATTCATTCGTTGGTTCAATCTTCTACTATAGTTGGGGCTAGCAATTGCATATGAGCCTATGAATGACACCCATATACTTTTCTAGCCTTTTCTTTACACTGTGTAAGTTGTAGAGTTCAGTTAGCAGAGAGAGAAGGAAGAAAGAGCACATACTCATAGAACCGAATGTTCAGTTGCGCAATCTATCAACATTTTGCACACCTGGGATGCACAGATACTGTCACAGACAATTAAATTAGGGATTAAAACATACAAGGTGTGACAAACCCAGATCTACTGGGATATGCCACAGTTTCACTAAGCTGCCACCAACCATTCCCTATAAGAAGTCACACAGACCAGGGATGGATTTTTAACAAATAAAAGAACAAGGTTTATTAAATAACACACAGGGAAAAATAAAAGGATCAAGTGAATAAGATACAGTAACGTGGCTTAGTCTCAATCATACATACACACAGTTTGGTTCACACAGAACACTTAACTTGAAGCACAGACCCTGAACCTATCAGTTCTGGCTAACCATACAGACACCTGAACCTATCAGGTTGGTACTGACTGACACACAGTAGTACCCTGTCTGACACACAGACTCCCACACCAGCTTCTTCTTCCCAGCTGCTGCTTCGTCTTCTAGCTCGTCTCCACACACGCTTCACATATATATACAGTACAGCCCCTCCTCCTGATGTCCCGCCTTCCACTCCCCATAGGCTGGAACTTTCCCTCCAAACCCATGACAGACAGGTAACATCAGTGCTGTATGTAACAGATACAACCTAACAGGCTCTCTAGCTATTCCTATTTCAGCATTGAATTCAACTCTATGCTGTTTCCATCTGGTGTATAATTACCAGAAACATCCCACGTCTAAAATAATGATCAGTAAAGAACTCAGAAATCTTTCATAGCAAACATACTTTAAAGAAATTTAATCAACCAACCAACCAACCAATCAATCAATCAATCAATCACATGTCTATCCAGCCCATCTAGTGACCAAGTACTACTCTGGGTGGCTAGCAGCAATAAAACACGTAACTACCCCTCCAACATATAAAGATGTAAGTAATGAGATTTTTAAAAATTACAAACCCCCCTCCAAAAAAAATGAGCCCAGAGGCAACAGTGAATCAAAATCAACATCTAGTTCATGGATTCATTAGGATATCAAAGGTGTAGGATGTTTCTGAAGGCCTCTTCAAATAATATAGATTTTACACGTTTCCCAAAACCCAGAAAGTAGGGAACCAAGTGTTGTGTAAGGCCTCTTCAAATAATACAGATTTTACACCTTTCCTAAAAGCTAGAAGGTAGGGAACCAAGTGTTGTGGAGCAACACAGAAAAGTGCTTTCTGATAGCCAAGTTATTGTCTCTGTGCAAAGCATGTGCTCTGCCACTCACTACAGTCCTCCTTGCTGTCTAAAAATGCTGTTATGTTGAAAACAAATGTTATTTTTTCTTTGAAGGTGAGGTATGAATAAAGTAGCAAGATGTTCTGACCCCTGAATGACGAATATGTGTGTATGTCTACAAATATTTATTTGAAATTTTAAAATAATATCTTTACATTTAGTACCAGTGTTATTCTGTGCATCATTAATCAATGAAATATAATTGTGACTTTTGCCCAATCATAGACTGTTTGCGGACAGTAAGCCAAGTCTCTCACCATTCTCCTAATGTCTCTGTAGCAAACAGGCTAATATATGAATTCCACTTAATTTGTAACTCATAAGAACATAAGACGAGCCCTGCTGGATCAGGCCAAGGGCCCTTCTAGTCCACCTTCCTGTATCTCACAGTGGCCCCACCAGATGCCTTTGGGAGCGCATGAGAGAACTAGATACCTGTCTCCTGATACCCTTCCCCTGCATCTGATATTTTGAGGTACCTTCCTTTTCAGTCTGGAGATTATACATCCCCATGATGGCTTGTAACCTGTGATGGACTTTTCCTCCAGAAATCTGTCCAATCCCCTTTCAAGACATCTAGGCCAGATGCCATCACCACATCCTGTCCGTATCTCTATCATAAATGGATAGATTGATTTATCTATCATAAAATATAATCTGCATATCTATCATAGATTGCAATGTGTTATGATCTGAACCATTTGTTGTCTGTCTCAGTTTGTATCAAAATGTGAACCAAACTAACATCTCCCCAGTTTGAGATAAGGGGTAAATCTCTGAATCTGGAACCATGGAGGAACAAATTACATCAAGCAGAAAACAGACATAGCTGAGAAAGGCTTAAGAGTCTTTTCCCCATCACTCACAATTACACCTCCTCAAAACTGCTTTTCAGGTCAAAACAAATAGCATTCAGTGCCTTTTTCCATATGAGTTTGCCCTCTAGTTTCATCTACCAGATTATAAGCAACTTCCCATTTCACTTTTAAGGTGGTATGTACTGACATGTTGAAATGCTATTATGTTATCAGCATGTTGTAAATCAGTGACAATTTTCCACAGTGGCTTAATGGCATTTTGCTTATGCAGGTGCAAATTAGCTGTTGGATGCCGGCTAATAATATTGATTAGAATGTATGTCTGTTTGCAAAAAAAAATTCACAGGTGTTTGATGAGTATTTGTATTGTTTTTCTTTGAAGGTTATGGCACTTTACCCTATTTCTATGGGAACGTTGGAGACATTGTAGTAAGTCCATTGCTGCTGAACTGCTACAAGATTCCTCAGCTGGAAAGCAAGGATTTGGATAATTTTGGACTGTCTGGAAGTCAGTTGCTAACTGTGGAGAACATGGTTATTTTAACAATACAGTATCTTGTCCGTCTAGGTAAGACAAAGATGAATAGCTTTTAAAAATATGTAAATAGTATTTTCTACAAATCACTGCTATTTGCTCATGCTATGCCCTCTGGACTTCATTTTTATGTAGTAAATCCTGTCATCTTCTGTACCTGATGCTGGATATCAAGATGTCTATAACTCTGCCCTCAGTTACCAGCATTTTCAGGATACTGTCTCACCTTTGAGTTCGGGATCTAGTTTTACCTTTACAATCTAATCTTCAGTGACAGAGACCCTCGTCAAGGCAGTGGTTCTGTTCCTCTTGCCATTCTTCTGTCCTAGGTAACATCATAGCACTTCCTTTTCTCCCTAAAGTAATGCTGACAGACAGGAAAACAGTCACTCGGGGAAGCACATACTCCTTACTCCTTAAAGAATAAATATCTACTAGGATGAGAATGAACCTCTGATTACCTGGTAGTTGCTTCACTTATCATTGGAAAAGCACCACCATTCCTTGGTGATTAGAGACAACTCTCTTTATTATGGCTAAACTATTTTTTAAAAAGTATTAATGGTTAATGTTAGAGACCTGAAAGGCTCTTGAACTGTGTTGTAAATTGAATAGCATACGATAATGTTTCACGACCACATGCACACAAGCCACCTTGTCCCCACTAGCTTTCATTACTTAGGATCATGTTTTGAAGTGATTAAGAATTTCCACCAAATGTCTTAAAAGAGTTTCTTTCCTGGGAAACATTTTATGTCACCTGGAGTTGCAAAGACATATTATTTAAATTCTCCTTGTTGAAAGAAATGTGCTCCAAATTAAAGTGATTTTGATTAAAATGGTTACTGTTTCCACACAAAAGTCTAAAGCTGGTGCACAGTTAGTTTAGTAGACGTCAGAAACAGATGTTCCAGAAGGCCCATTGGAGCTGAAAGCACATTAATATCACAATGACTGGGGCAGACTTTGTAAAATCAGTCTTCA